TGCTGCCAGATGCAAGCAGGGAAGAAGGTTGGTTGCCCCCTTTTCGCATCCTGCAGCCACTCCTGATGGGGAATATTACTGGTTGCACAACCAGGGTCCACAAGTATTTGACAACTTCCTCTTGGCTCAGCGTGCTTTGTAGGACCAGACTGAGTATGAGAGGAAGTCTGCAGACACTAGAGGGATAGATTCCAAAAGGGTTCATCCCAGCCCTACCATGTCCTCATCATTTTGTAAATATTTTCTCCAGTATGCATTAGTGGTAAATAACTGCTGACCATAAATAACCCCAGACTTCTAATTGAATTATTATTGCCTATATCTTGCATCCATCTTGGGTGATCTTAATGCTAGAATTAGATCAATACCTGCAAAATCAGTGGAGCAGTGGGGACTCTGGGTGAGTTCTATGAGATTTATTGCTGGCTTTCTAGTGATAGTAAATTGTTTGACGTTTGTTGAATTTAATATACTCAACTAGAGATCCTATGACCAAGCAAATCTGGATTTTCGTATTCTTATACATATTTTACTATTTATGCAGGTAGTTACATTGATTATATTTGTGTGTCTAATCTGCTCATCTGTTCTCTAGCATTTCAGTGAATGTTAGAGAAGACGGTCCTCACCAGTCAATATCAACCCAGTAAATTCTTGAATCCAATTTAAGAACAATGACTCAGCCAGATAAATGGGCAATGCAGAGGTTGGATATAGTGCAGGAAAAAAGATGGGAACAAGTGGACACAGCACAGGTTAAATTTGCTCGGTATTCAAACGTAGGAAGAGAGTTTGGGGTGTGGTTTGTACTCCTGAGGTGGGTACTGATTTTGTGTTTTATGTAGTCCAGTCTATCAGCTCCCAGAATTTATTTATTTATTTATTTAGGAAGCTTCTATGCCACCCCATTTGCCGACGCCTCAGGGCGGCTCACAATAATAAATAAACACAATATAAAAACAATATAATTTGAGTTGACCTGGCCAAAATAAACCTCCGTTATTTATAAGGGTTTGATTAAGCAGAGCAAGAACTATAAAAACCCTGTGGTTTGACACAGAATGTTGAATGCTGAGGAAACATTTGAGAACATCAGTGAGTAAAGCATGTGAGTCTTTGGACTGTGCTCAAACTTAGGCAAAGATATAAAAAGTTAATTACAGCCAAGAAAGCTAGCTATGTTGATAAAAGCTGGGGAGGTTTGAAACTGGAGGTTAAGAGAAAAAATTCAGCACACATCTTGCAATTAGTCTGTGGATGACTATGAGAATCATATTACATCTGAGAAGTATTTATACCTGCTCAGTTTGGGAGGATTTCTACCTTGATTTATTCAAAGGAGAATCAACAATTTGTAGAAAATTACAATTGGAAATAACTCTTGGGAATATCAATTACTTCTCCAAATGGCCACCAGTCACTATTCAGGAAATGTATCTGCTTATGCAGTCATCAAGGTACAATGCAGATCCAGGAGAAGACTTTTTGCCACCTGAACTTAAGGATAATGTAAACTGATGGACTGCTTTAACAGCTGGTTCTGTACTCACATAAATAACAATGGGTAGAAATCCAGTATAGTAGTCTTTTTAAAAAGGCTTCAGTACAGGAGATTAGAGGGGCCCTAGAAATTATAAGACTTGATATAAAAATATACTGAAAAGGGTGGAGAGCTCTACACTGCATTCATTGATTTGTATGCTGCCTTTGCCATTATAAACATAAAACTTCTATGGGAAAAACTGCTGAAAACAAGTTGAATGTATGTAGCTTCTTTTTGTCATAGCCAAGATTTTTATATGCCAATTTGGTTAATATTGTTCTGTGTAAAGACAACATGATCTTACTATGTGCTATCCAGATAGGGCTGCACAGACTATTGGGAAAGTTCAGTGCCTTATCTTAGTAGAACAACTTGGTAATTAACCATATAAAATCAAAAGTGCTGATCTTTGGCAAGAAAAATAAATGACATAAGTGGTTTTAGACGCTAATGAAATAGAGCAGGTGGGTTTGTTTGTTTGTTTGTTTGTTTTAATCTTTTCATCCGTAAGAACCTGAATGTTAGAACCAAGATTAATGAGCTGAAACAACTGCCTATGCCCAAAATTTCACTAGGCTCTTAAATTATGGATACCCCAGCTCATTTCAACTAGTGAGAATGTATAAGGCAAAGGTACTGCCACTACCAACTTTTGGTGCACAAGTTCAGAGCTTTGCCGATAATAATAAAACTGAAAGGGTTCAGAACCACTTCTTCTGTTCACTTTTAGGTGTGTCAAAATCCACACCAGCTCCTGGAATAGGGACTAAATTTGGAACAGATGCAGTCTCATACCTGATCCACCACAGGCTATCTACCGATGTAAGCTATATTGAATGAGTGATACCAGGCTCCCTAAGAAATGCCTAAATGAGCAGATGGCCAAAACTCTGGCAAAATCTTTTAAGCTATGGTCTCACTGTACAGACTAGTGCTTCTAGTCTTAACCAAAAAAAAGTTTTAAAACAAAGATTTAAAAGGTAGACATACCTGCCCTGTCAAGCATAAGGATTCTGAAATGGCTAGCAAGGGCTAAAACACAGGAATAAAATTACCTCTTCTTCAGTAAAGGGATTTGTGTTCAGCCTTTACAAATTTGCAATTCAAACAGATGATGATTCAACAAGGCAGATTTCAGGGTACACCAGTTCAAGGCAAATTCTGTATACATGATATCTCAAAAGTGTAAGGTCTGGCTCACTATTTATTGGAATGTAGCTTATATTCCAGATGCACAGAACATTATTTATCTCAGTTTCTTGGTCATATGAGAAACCAGGCTGCTGAAGACAAGCTGAATTTTCTCTTGAATTGGCTTGAGGCTAAATTTTCTCTAATGGTCAAATTGGTTTGTGACTCTGCAGCTGAGGCAGCCAGTTTAAGGAACAAAGAAAAAAATGCCTGATGAAATGAATCATGTAACAGTTTCTAAAAACTTTTAGCTACGGTTTCAGTGGGTTTCTAAAACCTTATTTCATTAAAAGGCTTGTCTTTTTTTCCCCCTTTTACTCATTTTAAAGAATTTTAATGTTCGGTTACTAGTTCAGTTTTAGACTTTCTTATGCTAATATTATATTTTAAAACCAATGCAGCTATTGTTTGTTTTAATGTGTGGTGTTTGAAATGATCCTAATTATCCAATCTGTTTGACTTTTACTTGCATCCATCTAAACACTTTTTTTCACTCACTCCATATCTCACTTTAATTTTAATAAAAATTTACACATTTTAGACAGTAATTTTGCCTTCACTATCATACTTTGAAATTCTGTGGTTTGTTTTATGTGGCTGGTCTGTATACATCCAGTATAGATGCTCCAGTTTGAAAATATGGAAACCACAGCATCCTTTCTCCCTTCCATCTATGTTCCATCTATGTTTTTGTAGTGTACATCTAAATTTTATTAACAAATGGTTATTAAATGTGTCACTACTAAGCTTTATATCTATACCTATTCTTCCTTTGATAGAATTTATAAGTAAATACTAGAGGTTACATGCAATTTAGCTGGGCTTAACCTTACATTTGCCCAGAGCCACAAAAAGTTGGAGGTTATCTTTTGTGATTGGTGGTCTTGCATATTCATAGTAAAATGAATAATGTGATAATATACAACTCTTTTTTTCTTCCTCATTTTTCAGTTTATGCATAATTAATATTTTGTATTTTTTGAAATAAATTGAATCTTTTGTCATTTAGTTGTTTATTTAAAAATTTGACTGGAATTGAACTGTATAAGTAATTTAATTTTGGCAGTAAATTGAATTTCTCTTGTAAACAGAAAGGTAGCATAAAAGTAAGGTTTTGCTGGACTTGGAGGTTGAATCTAAGTTTCAAGAATGCATTCTCCTTGTTACAGTCTTAAAGAGAACTAACATCTCAGCTTGATAAAGGGAGGAATCAAGCAGACTAGCTATTATCTCCTTGACCTGATGGAACAAATAGGTATTAGCTCTACTCCAATGCTCCTTAGGTTCTCACCTGAGCCACCAGCATAACCAGACTAGATCTGCACTAACTTACCCTGTGACATCTGTCATCCTCACAAGATGCTCTGTCTCCTCATCTATGCACCACTGTGACTCTTAGCTCTCAGGATCTGCTCCTTGGCAATCAGGATATGAGCATCAAGGGGCCCTGAACAGCTAGTACAGTGGTACCTTGGCTCATGAACTTAATCCGTTCCAGGACTCTGATCGTGACCCAAATTGGTCATGATCCAAGTCAAATTTCCCCATAAGGTTAAATGTAAATAAGGTTAATCCATTCTGTAAATATTTCTTTTTACTCACAGGGAAGATGGGCACAATCGTGGGCACACTCATGCAGGAAAGACGGGTGCGATTGTGTTCTCGTGCAGGAAAGACGGGCATGATCTCGGCCATCTCCCCCCCCCCCCCCGAGCACAACCGTGATCGCACTTGTCTTCCCTGCACGAGTGCACACACAATCGTGGCCATCTCCCCACTTGGGGTGGGGTGGGGAGATGGATGTGATCACGGTTGCCACCCAATGCAGAGTTCACAACCTGAGTCAAAATTTTTATGAAATTTTTGTTCGCGACTCGATTTGGTTGTGAACTGAGGCATTTGTGAGCCAAGGTACCACTGTATATTATTCTAGTCCAATCAGGAAAAAGAAAGGTATTGCGTATCAACTGCAGTAGTGAATTAACATGCATTGCTCAAAAATGGAAATTCAAATTTTGAGAAACAGATTCAGAATGTAAACTTGATTTACAAATAATTCACTTCTTTGGGTGCTTTGTGATGCTCTAAGTCTTGGTTAACCAAGATGTTACATGAACACATGAAAACTATTTGGTGTATAAACAGTTTGGTGCATGGACAGGGTTTTTTGAGGGGTGAAGAGGTGGGTTGTGCATTTCTCTTTGAGTATTTATTCCAGCACACCTTACATGGCCTATTTGGCTCTGCTGCTATTGACATTCATTACCTGAAATTTCCTCCGGGCTACAAAATACTGCATTCTCCTTACGACTTTGACAGCTGTTTGATGGGCTTCAGTTAGCCTAGAAAACAAACCATACACTACCATTACCATAAATATATATAAAAAACATATTCAGAAATAGAAAACAAAATCTCCTTCACTATAAATTTATTTATTTATTTAAAGTTTTTATAAACCATTTGATTAGCTCTCAGAACAGTGTACAGAGAGTTAAAATAATCTAAAAACATTTACAATATCTCATTAAGTATGCATATCCCTTTAGTTTTTTGCTCTTTGCCTTTTTATATACATTTAGTATAATATTTTCCAGTTTTCTGATAGCTGCACATTTTGCTTCTACCCAAAATGTTTCAGGGAATAAAAGAAGAAATTGCTGTGGATTATTCAGTCTTCTAAGTTTGTCACCTTCTGGTACGAGGAAGGTGAGATCTGAGACTGAGATCTGAGACTGAGCAGACAATCTTCTCTTGGATGGGTTCTTGAAACTCCTGGTAGCCTTCAGGTATTTAACTAACATTTCTCATGGCAAACTGGCATGTCTTATCATACCATTTGATAATCAGCTGTTTGAGTCTGTTTGAGCCATGACATCATTGCATTTTGAAGACTGACCATAAACAACTACCACAAAGAGATCAAGATCTGGGAAAATATTTTGACAGTTAAAATAGGACACCATTAAAACAAAGATGTTGATCTTACATCATACTTGAACTAAATTTACTAAACCACTAATACTTATACCAGCCCATCTTCCAAGGCCAGTCTATGTCAGTTGTTTGCAATACACCAAACTCCTGATGAAACCATAATGAGTTCAGAAAAGATTCTCTGCTGATCACCAGAAGTCTATTCATAGAACCGTAGCTAACTGTGTGGATGGCTATTTATAGGCTTGTTTCATCTGAAAGACAAATTTATTTAACCTATCACATCTATTACCTGTTTCACCTATTAAAATATTTAAACCATGCACCTCTCCTTATAATGAGCTGTCATGCCTCAGCTGGCCCAGCCTGAAAAGCACCTACTGACAGTTGTCATTGGGCACACCTGCACAGCTAGCTAACTCACCTCAATAATAGGTGAGACATTAGCACCTCATACTGTATATGCTAGAATTCTTAAGAAGCTGGTGGAGATGATAAGGCATGATAAACATGCCCTGCATGTGACTGTCTGGAGGTAACTGGTTAGTCTTGGAACAACAGAGCAGGCTGTAATAGGTGAACCTAGCAGATCAGCATGTATCTTTCCACAGGGCCTTCCTGTCAAAAATGTAGAGATGCTTGTTTTCCCATCAGATTCCAGGACCCGGGATCAGCACTTGCTACAATGCAGCATTTGTCATGTGTCCCAGCCGGAATCACTGGGGCTGATGCCTCGCCTTCCCTGCCCCCCACCACTTGTGTCCCCAGTTGTATTGCCACCACTCCTCCCCGATTTGCTTGCTTACAAGCAGGGTTACATGACAGCTGGGCAGTGGCTATGGTACTGGTAAGTATCAAGTTACAAGCTGAATTGTTCTACTTCAAGGAATGTGTTCTGCCGCTGAACTATGGCCTTTTTGGCACCAGCCCGTCATTCTAGAAGAACAAAGGGCTACAGAATCAATTCCTTGTTTCTCTTTCAATTTGACACATTTTTCAGGTGCATTGTGACTGGGAAAGGAGGAATAATACATACAGAGTATAATAGGCACCCATTTCTGAGGGCAGTGCCTGGAAATCTAATCACAGAACACAGAGGTGTTCTAAAAGCATATAGGAATGGGAAAATCGGTACTAAATCATGTGGAGGGCAGTAAGGAGGCAGCAAAGCAGGCACCCATGTCTCTTCTTGCACCTCAGCCCTACACAATTGTATAACACTGGAAGAAGGCCCTGATGAAGCTGAATTACCCAACCACAGTGGAGACAGACTGGGAGAGACAAGGCTAGAGCCGAGAATCATGCAACAATACAGTGGGTAGTTTCATCTCAAGGTGAGTACTTTGGACTCAAGAAGCCTTGCATTAATTTAGTTCTCTCAGCACATCAGCTGTTCTCTCATGGCAAATGGTTTGGGAATTACTATTCCATATCATTCTATAAAAGTACACTGTAGTGTATATTCATTGTAAAAACATTCTAACTTGACTGAGGCCATGTATATAAATATATGCCATGTAATTATATGGTAGACTTTGAAATCTGTACCATACATTTGGGTTAACCTCCCCAAAATATGTGTTCAGGCAAATAGTTATAGCATAGTATTTTACTGTACAGATCAGACAAAAAGTTTCTAACATGTATTTTCCTAAAAATATGCATTAAAAAGAATTTAACTCTGATTAAAAGAGACAGCTTGATTCAATCTCAAGGGAGATCCCTTCTTCTCACCTACATTTTGAGATTAACACTGCAATGAGGTCAGGATGCACACAGTTCTTTCAAAGGCCCACATCAGACTTTGTTTTGGAGCAACGTCAGTTCAGTAATCAAACTGATATTCAACATTATATCACCACCACTAGTAATGTGATCATGATCAGAAGCCCATGAGGTTTAGAGTTCAACATCCAATAATCTTACTTTTCCGAAGTATAAAGTAGATTAGTTAATTGCTCAGCAGCATGTCTGATAGCAAAAATATAACAGTGCATATGTTGCCTGGCTAATGGTTTTGTTCAACAGCAATATCATCCCTTATTGTTAATACCAATAAACAAAAGTAAATGAAATGAGTGAACCTATGCAAATAGCCTGCCTGGAGCACAATACAACAGCCAAGACAAAGTAGTAAAGAGAAGCTTATACATAACCATACTTTTTTGTAAGTGTTTTGTTTCCTTTTATTTGAGATGTTCCATCTCAGAGCAGACTCATGGCTATGCAGCAGGGTGAAGCTAAGTAGAAAAGGAAGGTAAAATTTTTCTGTTGGCAAGAGCCAAACCAGAAGTGGTGTCAGGAGAACCATGATTGAATCTAACATGCTCCTGGAGAGAAGGAGTGCTGAAGGGATAATTAGCTCTTCCCAGCACTATTTTCCTGCTCTAAAACTCCCCTGAACATGCTATTTGATACCACATGCCCAAATGATTCCCCCAAAGGGCAGCTTCAAGGGATGGACCAGGAGAAGTTTAAATTCCATAAGCACTGCCATTGTTCCAATGTTCCACTCCCTTTTTAAAAAAAATCACATACTTTGGCTTTTTGTTCCTGAGACAAGCAGTCATGTCTGAGCTGGAAGTCTGAGTAGAAGTTAGCGGTTAGAATGGAAGCCTGTGAGAAACTGGAGAGAACAAATTAAATGGAAGGGCTTAAAGAAAATATGTTCTTAAGGCAGCATTTCTTGCAGGAAAGACCAGTTTTGAAATATTACACTGTCCCAGCTAGCCATGCCTCTCCTCAGATACTGTATTTTCCTACCCCACCAACCCAGCTTCCTGTTTTGTGCCCTCAAACAGTGTCCAACAGCATCACTGTCAGATGCTGGTGTGCACCCCCAGTCTGTCCTTTGGTTTTTCACTCCCCCCTGTTGGCTCTTTCTGCTGAGGCTGCCACCTCCCCGCTCTCCCCGCTCCTCCCCACCCCCAGCCACTGGGATTCCCCACCTCGGGCCAGGGGACCTTCAGAGAAGGAGTGCCCTATTGTGGGAGCAACAATATTTCAGTTGAGGAAGGGTACAAGATTCTCAGTAAGATTCAAAGGATCACTCAGATATAATGGATATTATTTATTTATTTATTTATTTATTTATTTATAACAGCTTTTATATACTGCCTGCTTAGTCAGAGGTTCTCTGGATGATTTACAACAAAAGTAAAAGCAAATCAGTACCATAAAACAATACAATCAAGTAAAAACATAAATTGGTTACATAATGGTGAGAATTTCCAGGTGATACAAAATACAATATAAAATGACATATGACTTTCCCCATTCAGCAATTAAAATACTGGGAAAATGAAAAGGTTTTAGCCTGGTACCAAAAAGCATAAAGACTCAGTACCAAGTATACCTTTCTGGGAAGCTGATTCTGCAATCAGGGCAACACAGTCACAAAGGGTTGTGTGGTCACCTTCCTTACATCTTTTAAAGGTGGCTTGTGGAGAAGGCCCTCAGTGGATGACCTTAAGATCCAGGTAGGCATATACAGGAGGAGATGTTCCTTCAGATGTTCAGGCAATAACCCATTAGGGCTTTATATGTCAATGTAAGCCCCTTAAAGCAGCCCTGGACTTCAACTGGTAACTAATGAAGATGATAAAGGACTGGTGTTATACAATCTTGCCTGCTAGTTCTTCTTAGCAGACAAGTTGCCCTATTCTGTGCCAACTGAAGTATCCAGACTATTTTCAAGGGCAGCCCCACATAGAGTGCATTGCAGTAGTCCAGATGCAAGGTTACCAGGGCATGGATTACTGTTGCTAGGTTCTGCCTGTCCAGGTAGGCATATAGCTGATATTTCAGCTGAAGCTGATAGAAGGTGCTCCTGGCTACAGAGCCCACCTGGCACTCCAGGGATAGCTCCAGGAACAGGAGCACCCCCAAACTCTGAACCCTATCCTTTAAGGGGGAGTGCAATGCCATCCAGGACAGGATGGATATCATCCACCTGGACAGAGGACCCGCCTATCAACAGCATGCCTGTCCTGTCTGGATTAAGCTTCAATGTATCTCCCCACTCAGTCACTGGTTCAAAATGGTCAGTACCTCACCTAGAGTAAATGAAAATGAGAGGTATTGCTGAGTGTCATCAGCATACTAATGACACATCAGCTGAAACTTCTGGATACCCTCCATCAACAGTTTCATGTGGATATTAAATAGCATGGGGGATAAAATTGAACTGTGTGGTACTCCATGGAGTAATTGCCATGTCACAGAACCACAATCCCCCAGAAAAATTCAAGGCAAAGTTGATTAAAAGCAATTCATTTTGAAAGCATTTAATGTGGTTCATTTATTCCCTTTAAGAAGTACAGAAATGCTGTCAAATCAGGCTAAAATAGTCACTTTTTTTTTACAGAGAGCTACCTGTGTCTTCAGCACACATAAGCAGTATACA